TCTTGAACGAACAACCCTCTCTCGTTTAGTCGCTTAGGAAGATTATTTCACCAGGGTAGAATTGCATTCTGTTTGAGACCTGCAGGGCATTCAATGCAGACCCCCATCTCTTAACAGGACCGAGAAAAGGCGCGTTGTAGCACTAAGTAGATCTGCAGTCATCTGTTGGGAACTTACTCGAAACAGGTATCTGATGTTCCATGGTAGGTACAGTAAAATAGGTTCTTGAATTCTGTCTATATGCATAATATTTCAACTTCATGTTCCACATATTTCACAGCAGACAGTGGCTCATTTACTTTGTGCTCGTACGCGCCGTCGTCTAGTCGAATTCGGTGATCTGGTCATATAGCAAATGTACACTTAGTGTTCAAGTACCACGTAGTCATCGCCTCCTGTCCCAGACAGAACCAAAACATGAGAGACAAAGCACTCCTGACATGAAACTTCAGTATGAAACATTGATATGCTTTGGAGCGTCTGGAGTTTGAAATTATGTTGCTCGTTTCGTCTCTATCCAGTAGAGCAAATTTAGTTTCAGGGAACTCTGACAAAATACGAATTGTAGTAGAGGTTGGGTGTTAAAAATTAGAAATGTTCCGGAATCTGAAATATTCCGAAATCCATAATATTTTATCACCCCCCACTCCTAGTTTTTTTTGAGCTTCTTTGGATAATTTGAACGACGTTCTTAATACGCAGTCCCTCTTTCTACACATCAACCTTCGATCGATAGTCGTAACTTCTGGTTCCGACTAATCAGAAAACAAAGTCCCTTTGTCCCTAACGAAGGCCGGATTATATGAAGTTATCAGAATTTCTCTCCATCACAATCGTGAGCACTCTTGGTCAGTCCTCATTTTGTGTCCACGGTCATTACGGAGATCCCGTCAAACAGACCCTTTTTGATGTTTGCATTATAGCATGAAAACAGCCCATTAGCTTTTAAATTACCGTTCCCTGATGCTCCTACCTTCTAATCCATATAATCTGCATGAAAACGTTTTTCCGTAGCTAATGATGTTTTATTGCATCGAAACCACCTCGTCGTTTCAGTTTCAGGAAAACCTGAAATTTGTTTCCTCATGATTCGTAATGAGATGCTACTTCGCTTTCTGGAGCATCAATAACTTTAATTCCCCCAGGCAGCCCTTTGGGATAGGAGCACACTGCTGTGAACCATAAATATTTGGATTCAAAAGAAGCACATTCCTTTTTTGGCCTGTTCAAGTGGAGGCAGTGATGGAAGAAACGTGCCAAATGATTTTATAGCTTCATGTTTCGGAATTTCTGACCCGTTATGAGTTTCATGGTCGATTCAGGTTTGGTTATAGTCGCGCTTCCGCGGAATGGGAGAATATTCTCATCATGGTCCCGTCCCTTAACATGGATGTATGATGATTTATGAAGTAAAATATCAAACATCGTCAGTGCGAGGCTTCACAGATCACTGTGCCAGCTGTAATGAAAGTCTGTAGATTTTCTCAATTTTGTTCAACTCCTCCATATGATGCATTCGAAGATCAGAAGAGGTTCAAAATCTTAAACAGTCTCGGTCTGGGAGATTTATTTATGTATACTCTACCTGTAATATCATTAATTAAGCAAGATAAAGCCGTTTGGTGCGTCAGCTTTATCGCTGAAACTTTGCTTGGCTACTTGCGTACCTGAATAATGCTCAGCGAAGCAGCAGGGCCTTAAACATAGCAATTTCTTCCTGTGCATATGCAACAAGCCTTTGATACCTAATAAACGGCAAACCATCATGTTGCTGACTAAATCTTATCGTTAAAATCAGCATGAAATTTACTATTAATTCCTATTAGAACTTCACCAAAATTATTCTCTCATCCAGTGTGGGATTCATCTTTCAAAACTAGGCTGAACATTGCAGTTTTCTTTATTAAATCTAAGATTTAATGAAGCGGCCAGGAGAATTTCCTTTTAAGTACACACTGAATATTTTTACTTTATTAAGCTACTACCCAAATATCAAGTATAAGACATGGCGAAATAATACGAATCTTTCAGTTTTCTAAATGAACAAGTTCATCTTACAATGAAACGATAATCGATCAATAGGCAAATGAAAAGTGCAATGGACAACTTCATTTCATTGCTTGAAGATGATGCACCTGTCCAAAAAATTGCCACTAATTGATGAAGATTGTTGTTTTCATTTGCAGATGACGCCACAGACCGATGATGTGATCTATATAATGGAATAATTCTCCTAACATTTACCTTTTCTCATCTCCACAATTGAATACATGATTCTGCTTCTCATATCTCTCCATCTGGATTCGATCTAAATCAAATTCCGAGGTTAAATGAACATCTCTACAGTACGTCATAAGTTATGGATGATATTTCTTTTCTACTTTAGGAATAAAAGAATTCATTTGCTGCCTGACGCATTAAAAATTGACAGTTAGCTTCTCCATCAGGGCTTTCTGGCGGCAATTATAAGCAGGGTATAAAATTCTACATTTACCGACACACCTTTACAACGATGACAAGCGCCATCAGCAGAGCAATTAATTTTTGAATCATCGATCGGAAATCGAAGACCATTTCTTCGACATGGCCGAAAATTTCATGTCGAATTACTTCACTAATTGTTGCAATTATATTGATCCTCCTATGAAAAATTATTTTACAAATTTACAGGGCGTCTTTGAAGGGATAAACACATCTCACCACTCATTACTATGATACAATGTACATCTGCGCTAATATGTTGCTGATCATAACTTTAGCTTCTAAACACTGGCTAAGCCAAAATTTAGTTTAGATGCCACGGTGGCGACCCACTTTCGGCGTTTAAGTACTGGAAACAGGGAATACCAAATGGCGGACCTTACAACACTACCAATGGATGCCAACCGTATACGAAATGCTGGGAAGGGTGTCCAGGAGGTACTCCGGCATGCATGGGACATAAGTGCATTCCTGAATTTCCGTATTCCTATAACAGTTCACTGTATTACGGTACTACGCCAGCGAATTATTTTGATATTGATATCAAATTCACGGCTACTACACAGGTGCTACCTGGTATTGGATTCAATCAATGGAACGCGCTCAACAAGACATAATGAAATATGGACCTATCGATGCAACGTTTCATGTGTATGAAGATTTATATTATTATAAAAGCGGTTAGTAATATATGTTAACCAATGTTACGGCTAGCAAATGTTTTAAAAGAAAATTTCAGGAGTATACAAGCACACTACTGGAAAGCATGAAGGCAGTCATGCGGTACGAGTAATTGGGTGGGGAGAAGAAAACGGCGTCCCATATTGGCTGATAACCAATTCTTGGGGACCATATTGGGGCGACAACGGTAGTGTGATAAATGGTTCCCAACTGCTTCGAAGAATAAGCGATTACGTTTCAGGTTTGTTCAAAATACTCAGAGGACAAGATGAATGTGCAATAGAAAGTTACCTGACTACCGGAACATCGACTCTCTGACGAAATCTGAATCACTATAGAAAAAGTTTTGTTTTTCATCTTTAAATATTTCACTGTGATTTTTTTCACATTGAATGATCTGACATGTCGCCTATCAGATTGTCGTGATTCGTACGACGACGTTCGAATAAAGTTTTGCATATGTGACCGATTTGTGGAAAGAACTGATCAGAAAAATAAATCTCGATTAACTATTGCACTCCAAAAGTGAGGTATGAAGCCATTTAGAAGTAGGAAAAGCAGCATTGTTTGGCATGCGTTGTCCAGATGATGATTTATGTATGGTTCTTTGTTGTTTTATGTGTAATGGATTCCATTTCATTAAATTTGATTGATTTTCGATCGATCGTCAGTGCAGTCGTACTTGAAATCCCTACCTCTTTAGCAGTGTCACAGACCTTCGTTTACGAAAGGTGTAGATGAACAACACATTTTCTGCATATCCTTTCACATGACCTTCTACGCCTGTTTGAATTCGTGATGAAAGCATTGCAAACTGATAAAATCAGCGATGACAGATTCTGTAATGAAACCTTTGCAAGTCGAACGACATTCGTAGAAAAGCATCGTTTTATGCTTGAAGGATGTATTATCACACGGGGTCATGAAAATCAGAATAAAAAGCCGGTAAGGTCACATGGCATGATTTCATCACATGCTTCCCTTACCGGTTGCTCGAAAAAGGATATGTGAAGAATCGAGTCACGTCGAGAAATAATAATAATGATAACATGATGCGATTCTGGGCTTCAATGCAGATCCGTTTGCGCATATTCGAGAACATGGGGGGCGGTTGAGACGAATTGAAACGTGTTTTTTATGGCAGTATGTCTGTAGAGAAGGTTTCAAAGGACAATAATCATATTTTTGTTGTTCTACTAAAATTTTTGTTCTTCTCTTGACAGATTCTATTAAAATTGTGATTGTTATGCAATTTACACATTCGTTACATATGGCGAAGTGTAAACTTGTTGTCCACTTTATATTTCATAAGCCAAATGACCGAGAATCTTCATAGATA